ATATACGAAATTGAATTTAATGAATGTATAAATTTGAAATAAAATTGATAAAGTAAAATATATAATATTAGTATATCAAAAATGTGATTTGGAAATGTAGAACATTTGATTTACAGCAATATAACAATTTCTACAAAAAAAAAAAAAGAAAAACCTAACCCTGAACGATTCATTATGATATAACGGTGACAATAGTTAAGTAACATTTCAAATAAAACATGGAAAAAGTGACATTCAGGAAATTGAAAACTAATAAACAAGAAGACTATATTTGCATGCTAATTAACTATAATTATACATGCAAGAAGATAATTGTTAAATACACTTTGAAAAGTTTTATACAACCTGATTACAAATTAATCATTCTTATCTTAAAAACAAAAAAATAAAAATCATAACTATGTTGGATGATTGAGCAACGATAAAATTTTGATTTAAATTAGGCACAAACATAAGATGAACATAAATTTGAATTTAAAACGAAACGATATGAGCTCATAATTAATTATTCGAGACTTTTATAATTTGCTCAGTGAAATATGTTTACATTTTGAGACCATGAATTGAAGTATTAACAAACTAAAATTTGAAAGATTGTAATAATGTTAATTGCTAGTAGCTAGTAATAATGTTAATTATTGCTATTAATAATCTACAAAAGCTTCAAAAAAGAAAAAAAAGTTATGCAGTAACATTTTTGTCACCAGAATGAATGGCTTGATTTAATACTTCGATGTTATTAATTATTTGTTTGACATTTCCGGTCCTGATTGCTTCAGTTTCTTCAAAAGCTAAAAACATGCTTATTATTTGGGAATTATAAAAGTAATTTTTTCGAACCAAAATTAAGCTATTAATTTAAAAGTTAAAATTTAACTTTTTAACCCAATCTCAAATTTAACTTGTCAGACATCTAACTTTCAATATTTGATAATACTTCGAACAAATGTTATACAAAGCTGTTAAGTTAGTTTTGCATCACTAATAGTTTTTTTCTATTTATTAATCAAAAGTCATTAATTTAGAAATTTAATTGTTTCATTATAATAACTAATAATTGTAGAGTTTTTCTGTAAAAATATTACAAATATGAATCAATTTCTGAGATTACAAAATCCAATTAAATCCAATTTTTTTTTTAATTTTGAGAAATTTTTATCAAAACAAACAAACAACAATAGATATGGCGGAATAGTTTGATGATTACCTTATTAAAATTAAAATTAGGAGTTCATTTTAAGATCATTAATGAAAGTAACATTTTTTTTTTTCATCTATTCTCAGAAATTTCATCATTTATTTACATTATTTAACGACTAAATGTTAGTTGACAAAATTTAAAATATCTTTAATTTAATAATCATTTCAGGATATTGATTTTAAAAAACTTACACTTTTACGCTCTTGACAATCCATATTTTTTGGTGTTCCACATAATCCACATGATGAGCGGCAATTTTCTGCCATAAAATCATCAGAATTTCCGAAGCAATGATTTTCATTTTTCCATTGCTTACATGATACATGCCGATCATTACATTACTTAAAAAAAAAAAAAAACAACTAATTAATTCTTATCATTTAATATTAACATTTAATTAAAATAAATTTACATCACATATGCCAATTGTTTCATCCCTTTTCTTTTTTTGAAGATTTAAAAAAGAAAAAAATGTTAAAAAATTTAATACCATTTGAAATATTATAAGAAGGGCGGCATTTGCCACATGCTGCGGCGCAAAATTTTGCCATATGATATTTATCTGTATAACAGCCACCTTCTTTAGCCCATTGTTCACAGCATGGTATTCGATTGAAACAATCATTAAATTGTCGACTAGCATGTTGTCGAGCAATTTGACCACGAAGATTTACTGATAATGCAGTTTGTGGTACAAATGGCTATAAAAATAAAGTGTTTATTTCAATAGTTTTTTTGTCATTTTTTTTTTTTTT